AAATTCTCGAATCGAGATATTTGAAGATAGTGGGAGTGTGTACATTTCTTCGCCTTTGATTTGTCCTGCAACACAAGAGAAGGATGAGCAGTCAATTTTTGTCGGACTTCATCAAAATCAGAATGATTACTCGAGAACCAATCGGCCCACCATTGAGAGAAATCCAGGGTTGATAAATAATTAGACTCAAAAACATAAGGATAAAAATGCATCAGGGTTTTTGGTAGCAGTTTGGTGTGCTCCCGTCCAATTGTCGATTCACTTAACTTGGACTTTGGGGAGGTATCGAGGGGGAAAAAAGGTAAGGGTTGAATCAAACCAAACTGCCTCGAGAAAAGTTGGGGGTAATAGATGACAAGCTTAAGATCCTTTGAGTGAAATCCCGACACTAACACATCGTGAGTCAAATAACTGCTCCATACTTCGACCAATTCTGACTGTAGCCCCGGAGTAAGAGCAGGAAATCTCGATTTAAACCACGTTGGTCCTTGAAGTTTGTCACTTATTCGTCCGAGATTCACAGTGAAAGGAGCCAAAGTTGAGTCAAAATGAAACCTAGTTAACAAAAACTTAAGGTATCTACGATAAGTCGCTTCGTCGGGTTTGTGGCGAGGATGGCGAGAAGATAATCGAGCACCCTCTAAATCTACACTTGGGGGGATGTTGGAAGTTGGGGGAAGGATACTCTCAAAAATCGAATTCATCCATAACTGGATAAACCAAATGGGGCCTGAAAAATTCCCCGAAGCTCTGGGGGTATTCAAAATCTCGACAGCCTCATCTAAAGCAGTATATACATGGGCTAATAAAAGTTTGGCTAAACAAATTCTAGGTTGGCCGGTGTGAAGGAGATAGCCAAGGTTATACAGGTGGGATGAAATTTGGATGGATCGGGGGCAGAAGACGTGAGTGCACAACCAGTATACCAAGAAAGCAACGTGCTCCTCATCAGAAACAGAAACTGTTGGATCATCGATAAAATGCTTCTCGAGAAAATGACCATAGGCTTTCGATTCCCAATCGATTTTTGACCTTAGGGAATTATCCGAAGGAAAAGCACCCTTATAGTACTTCTCCCCTGTGGGTTTCAAACCAGTAATTGCAGCGACTTCGAAAAGGGTGGGCGAAAGGGGACCACAAGGGAGTTCTAACGCATGCAGGTCCTTATTCCACAAATGTACAGCAGACAGAAACATAGCCATATCCCAAAATGACAAATCGCATCGAGATAAATGAAAAAAATTGAAAATCCCCACGTCTCTCCAATGGTTCCCAAACTTAGTCTTAACCCTATCAAACCACCTAATATACAAGGGTTTTTTGGAGGGGGGGCCCGTTCGGTACACTTTAGATACAACAATCAGAAAGTCTATCCGAACTTCAGATTGATGAATGGGAGCCTGGCTCTTTGGAGAAAGATTGAGGGAAGAAAAAGTTCTGCCACGAGAACGAATAGGACCCCCAAAAGCATAAGTTATATTATCAGCAATATAAGGGATGAGTACCTGCGTCTCAGCGACTTTCTGAGAAGCTTCCTCCATTAGAGGAACCGGAGCAAATTTCTTGTTGTTGATCTCCAGCAGGTTAGAGGCCAACGAGGGAAGTGGTGGGGCTGAAAAATCAGAAGATTTGGAAGAGGTTGCCATTTCAGGAGAGTAGAGGAAAACAGAGGATAGAAGGTGAGGGTGCAAGGTTGAGGATAAAGACGCAGGGTAGAAGATGAAGTTGCAAAAGAGGAGTAAAAGTTCGCGTAAAAAACCAGGGTAAAAGACCAACAAAGTGTTTAAAGGAAAACTATCTAGGGTACTGGAAACAATGGAGGCGAAGGGCAATTAATGTGGTGTGTACAGTAAGGCAGCAAACTGATGTGATGGTGACATAAAACCCCAAAAACCCAAAAACCCTAAAAAACCCCAGAAACCCTAAAACCTAAGTTATTGTGGGCCTCCAACACGCGAAGGCGGGAATTATGTTGAAAGAATATAAACAGAAACTATTTATATTCTTCCAAGGGGGCATTTTGTTAGTGAGAAATCGATAAAGGGATCGAGAAACAAATGGGAGCAAAAAATCGAAAACCATTTTGATTGAGTTAAAGACTGATAAATCGAAAGATAGTTGGAAAATACGTTCGACGACCATGTGACAATATGATCGAGAATTAGAATCGAGAAATCGAAGGAAGAATGTTTTCGAGAAATTAAAATTTTGTAATGTTAAAGTTAAGGAAAACCAAGAGCAATTCAAAGTTCTCGAGATCAAGAGATCAAAATCAAGAGGAAGGCTAACTCGCGTGGATATCGAAATCCCGGCTAGGTCATAAAGAGGGGAACAGTTAAACGCGCACATAGGAAACGGTTTCTAAACCGTGGCGGAGGTCGAAGATCATGGGAACGTGGGTGCGCTTTGATACCAAAGAAGAAATCGCAACATGCACGTAGGACGTGGTAGCAGTTTCGTTAACCGCTCCTAAGAGGTTACTTGCTTAAAGGATGCCCTATAAATAGAGTGAAGGAAGAAGGAAGAGGGGGTGGAAATTGGCAGAGAGAGCAGGAATACTAGTGAGAAGTCTACCGGAGAACGACGAACATCATGAAGTTTCTGGCGATCTGGATTTCCATGTTCATTGATTTCCTTTACCGTTTTCTTTATTTTCCCTGGTAATTTACTTTGATGCAGTTTATGTTTAACAACTTTAAGTTTCTGTATTTTCGATTCCTTGTCATTTCTCTTTAATGAAAGTTAAGTTTCGCGTTTAAGTTCATTGTCATTTATATTAACGTAATTTCGATTTCCGCCATTTACATTTTTGCAATCTCGATTTCCTGCTATTTACATTTTTGTAATCTCGATTTCCTGCTATTTACATTTTTGTAATTTCGATTTCCTGTTATTTATATTTCCGCAATTTCGATGCTTTGTCGTTTACACTTAATGCAAATTTGAGGTTTCCGCATTTTTCATTCCTTCGCAGTTTTACATTCGGTATTACTTTTCGATTTGTCACTTTACTGTTTTCCTTATTTCGAGTACTTCAAATACAAAATACCAAAAATAGTGTTTTCGATTATTTAATCTTAGTATTTTCTATACAGTGGTATTTTCGATTCTCATACGCATTTCGATTGAAATTCAGTTGCTAGCCTAAATATAAAGAATCTACATGGTTAAGTTTTGGTTAGAATCAAAGTCTCTTAAGAATCGAAATTAATCAAAATTCTACCAGAAACAACTATTATCAAATTATGGCCTAAAGCCAACCGAACAAATGTTAATACTCAGGCATTAAGTCATTTTCTTCAAGTTCATAATCCTCATTTAAAAATTCATCATCTTCATCTTCCCTTAACGGTGGAAATTCCTTGAAGGCCTTGGAAAATTGATTGAAGTCTTGTAGTGTACATAAACTTCACAAACCTCAGTATCTTTCTTCCCCCGTATCATATCCGTCTCGTGGCTTCAAATGGAGAGTAATCGACAATGGATTTTGCCTCCCTCTCTCTTTTTCCATCTCTCATCTTACCGTTGTTAAAATTCCATCTCTCATCTACCCGTTGTTAAAATTTAAATTCTTATTCTCATTTTTATTATGGTTCATATTTTGCTGACTTCGATATTTCTTCTTTGTTTCATATTATTCTTTTATATGTTATGTTTTATAATTAATGTTTTTTTATTCCTTCAAAATACAGTTATTCAATTAAGATAAAATTTGATATATAATAAATAAAAATTATAAATTTTAGAAAGTAGCATATAATAGAATCTAATGAAGATAAATTAGATATAAAATTATAATATTAAGTACTATTAAGATCGATGTATAATATTTAAAGAAAGATAAAAAAGAAAAAATAAATTAATTTTATATTTATCAAATTGATTGAAGAGATTAAGAAAAAAATCAAATTGATTAAAAAGATCAAGTAAATATAAAAAAACTAAAAGTGAGAAAAAGATAAATGTCTTTAATTCAACCTATTTAGTTATGACTAAGTTTAAATCATACTAATAATCATACTAATTTATAGACTTATGATTCGATTCATTTAAAAGTAATATTTTATTAAAATTATATATGTATTATAAAATATAAATTAATTTGACAAATAATTAATTTATTCTAAGAGTGAAGATATAATCACTAAGATACATTACTATTTTAGATCATTTTATTTTTTTATAATTTATATATTAAATTATTATATTTAAAGTAAAAATTAATTTTATTAATACAAGAGTTATGATAACTCATTTTTCTCAAATATTTATCCAACAATCCATTTCTAGACTTTATATTATTAGTTATCTATTTTGCTTTATCCTCTCTATAAATCAATTAAAAGATAATATTTTAGGGTTATCTAAGGTTTAAAAATATTGGTTTAAAAAAATTCCTTTAATAGATACATTAACACGTTGACTTGACATAAAATCATAATAGATAACAAAATATTGATGATTAATGGGATCATATCATCAATAATTTTTATTTAGAGACCACGTTACATCAGATCATCCATTAATCCTATTATTTGTTCTAAAATTTATATTAGTTTTATAAAAAGGAAAAACAATTTAATATAAAAAAATATTTATTATTCTAATTTTTTTTGTTTCATTTAAGAAAAAAAAATAAAAAACAAAATAAGCGTGCACCATTGAGAATTCTAAGAATTAAAGTACAAAATATCAAACTGGGTCCACAAGTAATCACTTCAATGGTTCTAAATCCAGTAAATTGCTATGACGTGTACCCTTTCATCCTCACCATTCTTCCACAAACCACAATTCTCAATTTTTCACTTTCTTCAAACTCTTATTTTCTGCCCATAATTTTGTTTTTCTCAACTTCTTAGTAACATTTAGATTCTCAGTTGTCTCCCTCATATCATATTCGTTGAAAACTTGTGATAACTTCAATAAAAATTTGTATCTTTTGGGATTTTAATTTCATACCCACATACCCATTTTTTTACTTGAACTGATTTTTTGTTCCCATGGCCCTTCATATTAGCAGTGGTTGTTTTGCTGTGATATGTCACTCAAGAGTTCACAGAATAAGAGCTACTGCTGCTTCAGATGGTTCTGCTACTCTTAATACAGTGGTGGAGGAGAAGGTGAAATTGGGTGGCTCTGATTTGAAGGTCTCAAGGTTAGGAATTGGAGCTTGGTCTTGGGGTGATACCACTTACTGGAACGATTTGGAATGGAATGGTAACTTTCCTTAACTATTTTTTCTTTTTATTTGGGGTCGTATCTGTGCTTTTTTTTTTTCTTGAAACTATCACACTTTTAGTTTTAATCTCTATTAAAAGTTTTACATATTTAAACACAGGCATTGCACTGAAATTAAACTCCCTGTCATAATTTTAGGAACAAAAACATATTTAAGCCTGCCTTTTATCTATCTTTCAATGGTCAATAATGGAAGTGGTGAGTTGCGCATGTAAAGAAAATAACTTTCAGATTTGGAGTTCAATTGCCAACTGATTTTGAAGCATGAGTATGTGATTGTTGGAATGTGCAACAATCCTATCCGTTTGGTGGGGGTGGGGAAGTTGGCATCAATGGAGGTTGCTGTTATTTTTTTGGGTTGTTTATAAGAAATCATCCAATAATTAGATATATAATAATATTATAATAAAGATGAGTATAATTTTCATCTCGATCGATTTTATAGGATTGAATCAGGTATTTTATCATTTATAAGATAATAAAAAAGTTTATGTTGGGACATTATTCGTTGGTAACTATAAAATAAACCGCTCGTTATCAAATCAATAGATCACTCATGTTCTAATACCCCAATCTAAAGTGGTCGTATTTGCAATATAAAGTTGTCATGTGAAAAGACAGAAGATACTCCCAATATACTCAAGATGTCAATAGATGCTATAACATAAAATAGCAGATTTGAGACACCATGAAGTGTCCTTTTCTGTCGGATAATATGTGTGGTGTTTTGAGTTGAATGGATTGAAATAGTTTTTTAAATGGACAAAGTTAAATTATGAATATATTCATTTTGGTTATGTGGTAATTGTAGATAGGAATGAGAAGGCTGCTAGAGGTGCGTTCAATGCCAGTATTGATGGAGGTGTAACCTTTTTCGACACTGCTGAAGTCTATGGTTCTGGGGTGAGTGTTTATTTTTTCCAGAATTCTTTGATGAGTTTAAATTCACCAAAGATGTTCTTCTTTTCAGCTTGCTTTAGGAGCCATAAACTCTGAGGTTCTTCTTGGAAGGTATGAATAAGCTTATGATTTCATATGCAGTTTGCAATTAAGAAACCTTCATATTGGTGCTTCCATTTGTTGTTATCTAAAGATTCATTAAGGAAAGAAAACAAAAGGAGCCAGATGTTGAGGTTGCTGTAGCAACCAAGTTTGCTGCGCTGCCATGGAGATTCGGCCGTCAAAGTGTTCTCAAAGCCCTTAAAGATTCCCTTTGTCGATTAGGACTGACTTCAGTGGATCTTTATCAGCTTCATTGGTCAGTATTTTATGAGTCTGTCTAGTGATATTAATTTTGAGTAAATTACAATGACATTGACTAATATTTTCTCAAATTGCACTTATATTCCCTGCTATTTGCATCATTACAATATTCTCCCTTATAAGGTGGTATAAGTGTAATGGTTTTAAAACTTAAGAAGGTGCATGTATAATGGCAAAAGTGTGACAAAGTAATGCTTTTAAAACAAAGGGGAAATTTGTATAAAAAATAAAAAATAAAAATGAAACTGGAGTCTAGGTAATCTGAGAAAATCTCAAGAGGTATAAGTGTAATTTACTCTATTAAGTTTTATCCAAAATCCTTTGTTGATGATATTTTTCCTGCTTTTCAGGCCTGGAGTTTGGGGAAATGAAGGTTGTTCAGTGTATCAAAATTATTTCATTGAACCATTCATTTAATAAGGCTTATGGAATCAGATGTATTTTTACTTACTCATGATAAGATTAAGAGAATGCTTAGTTCCTCAATTATTTACTTTTCAGGGTATATTGATGGTTTGGGAGATGCTGTTGAAAAGGGACTTGTGAAGGCTGTTGGGGTTTCAAACTATAATGGTAATTCTTTATGACTATTATATATGTCTTGAAGTCTTCAATATTGTGCAAAATCATTTACCACTTCCACCGTAAAATGGACATTCTCTTAACATATGACATCTTAATGTGATAGGATGAATGTCAGACATAAATTAGTAGCTTGAATTTATTGTAAATCACAAAAAAAATTGTGGGGGTCTCATGTCTATTATTTAATGATTATCTCTTCTGATTTTATAATTTTCAATTAACTTTAACCAATAAGAAAGTGTGTATCAGAAAGAATATGTTAAAAAGTGAGTTTCTAGCATTTCATTTTGTTAGCAAGCACTTAGTTAGATTGATGATTTTTAAAGCGTATCAAAGGAAGAATGTATAGAGAATCTGATAACTGATTCAGAGTGATCCTGTCCTCTCAAATTGCCTGAGATGCTCTATATTTCCTATTTTTATGATGTTTCTGTAGAGAGAGTGGGGAAGACTTCTGCTATTTATGTTCAAACCTGCCACTGTTATTGTTGGTATACACTATATTTGTAGCAGAATCTCAGTGGAAATACAATATTATTCTGCTAATTCTGGTCTAGTTCTATCAGCAAAAATAGTTAACATCTATTTTTCTATATAATTAGAAAAGAGACTCCGTGAAGCTTATGAGAAGCTGAGGAAGAGAGGTATTCCATTAGCTGCAAACCAAGTAAACTACAGCCTCATCTACCGAGCCCCTGAAAAAAATGGTGTAAAGACTGCCTGTGATGAACTTGGGATTACAATAATTGCATATTCACCAATTGCTCAAGGTGGATTCCTTTTCATTGTTGTATGTGTTTACTGTATCTTTTTATATATATGTTTGAATTTTGCATTAAATATCTTTCAAAACCCCATAAGGCATAACAAAGTATTTTTTTATGAATTATAATCTTGCACATTGAAGTTTAGTTACTTGAACATGACATAAAATTTGGTTTACAGAAATTTTAGACAAGGAAACCTCTGACATGAAACATACTTGAAATAATGCAGAACCCCTTTTCTAGGATTTTGTCTTCTTGGCCTAACTTCTGCATGAATGATCATCAATAACAGGGTACTGGTTAAGAAATTATAAGTAGAAAGTTTTTACTAAGATGCACAAAAATGTGTTCAATATGCTGTAATATGATTTTTTATAAAAAAATTTAAACTTTTCTCCGTTTGATTCCTTAGTTAGAGTTCCAAATAAAGACAGTGGTAATCAAGATCTATTATTATCAGTAGTAGTGAATTTTCAAACTGTAGTTTTACCAAAATCATGCAGAGTAAACTTGACTTGCGAACATTCAAACTAGTAAGAGTTAATCAACTTTCAAAACAATATTTGGAAAGCATAACACATAAGCTAATAAGCATATCTATAATAATATCCAAACTCCATGCCAAATATCCTTACCTTAAATAGGTCTTGTGGTAGTTATCTATATATTCCAACTCCATACAAGGAAATTATGCAATATCCTTATCTTGAACAGGTGCTCTAACTGGAAAGTACACTCCTGATAAACCACCAAGTGGACCTCGAGGCAGAATTTATACTCCTGAATTGCTGACAAGGGTAATGTTCTTCTGATATATTCAGAACTAATAACTTACTCACCACATTGCTTACTTCCTCAAGTGTGTTTATTTTGCAGCTCCAACCTGTGCTGAACAAGATCACTGAAATAGGAGAGAAGTACGATAAAACTCCTACACAGGTTCATGCTGCTCTTCAATTTCATTATATAACTTGAACATTTGAGATATTGGCACCATCTTTCAATCTACTTTAACAATAGTAAAGACACTAGAACTTAATTTTCATGCTACACCAAACCTGAATATCAGGATCTTACTCCGCTAAATGAGTAAAGTGAAAAAGGGTGTACTCACTCTTGATTTAGTTCATATCAAGGGTGGATGTCTCCTTATTTTTCACTTTAAGCATTTTCTCATTTTAGAGAAGTCTAATTCTGGAAACTTATGGATCAAAGTGTACTTTTTTTCTACTTGATCCTTATTATTTGTGACTTTGGGTCTAGTTGGATAATTTTTTTCATAAACACTTATGATAAGAAAAGAATGAAATAATTTTTTTTTTCTAAACCTATGTTGAAGTTAATTTGTAGAGACTCACTCGTTCCTCTAAAACTTATACATAGATAATTTAGGGGGCGTTTACGTGTGCTTTTAACTTTCTGCTTTCACTTTTTACTTACAAAAATACACCTTGTTTTCAATCTATTTTTTTGTTTTTAACAATTATTTTCAGTGTTTCTTGTATAAATATTTGAAAACAATGTGATATTTTTGTAATTAAAAAAGAAAAAATAGAAAATAAGAGCACAAGTAAACTCCCCCTTACTTTTCATTTATATTATCTTCTCTTATAAATACTTACAGAAAAATGTACCCAAACAAGTCTTTTATCTTCTCCACAATTCAACCAAAATCGTAACATAGAAATTGTTAGATAGAATGGTGAATTTGGTCCTTCAAAGTGCATAGAAGTTTTAATTTAGTCCTAGAATTTAAATATGTTAGACAAATGGCATCTAGAGGGGGTGAATAGATGCACAAATTAAAATAGATGTCAAATTAAAAATTTATTTGTAAGTCAATAATTTGTTTGAACACAGATAAAGCGGAAGCGATAATATAATCAGGAAAAGAGAAAGAGATAAGGGGAAGAGAAGAGCACACAGAGATTTATACTGGTTCGGGTATAGCCAACCCTACATCCAGTTTCTAGTCAACTCTTAACACAAGAGTGACTCTCAATTCACTATCTTTCAAATTCAGTTTACAAATTACAAATTACAATCAACTCAGTAAACTAATTAAAAAGACAAACACCTCTCTAGAATCCCACTAGGGATGAACACCTCCTTTGAATAAATCAAAGGATGAAAAATACTTCCTTAGAATCCCACTAAGGATGAACATCTCCTTAGAATCACACTAGGGATGAATACCTCCTTTGAACAAATCAAAGGATGAAAACACCTCCTTAGAATCTCACTAAGGATGAACACCTTCCTAGAATCACACTAGGGATGAAAAACACCTCCTTTTCCACCAATACAAAAAGGATGAAGGTAATAAAAATAAGAACAGTCACACCTGGGTAATAGAGACAACAAATTGTAGAAGCCTGTAGAATGTCAATCTCCAAGAACAAGTGTGATTAACAATGAGAGCACAGAAGACAGTAGAGAAGAGAGTTTTCTCAGAAAGTGTAAAATATCTTCGTTGCCTTGCTCGAATTCTTTTCTAAAAGCTGATTGAATATTAATTGTATTTTCGAATTACGTAATTGTGTGTTTTTTATTTTTCATCAAAACTTAATTAAATAGAAAAATAACATCAGAAAATGGTCGTTGAATATTAATATTTTTATGAATAAAAATTAGGATATATTCAAAAATATTTATTCTTCAAAACAAATATATTTTTCAAATTTGAATTGTCATAATTGATTTTGTTACCAAGTATAATCAATTATGACAGAGAAAATCATTTTCCATTTCCGATGCATCATAATTGATTATGATAGAGAAAAATATCATGTTATGAATTTTATCACACTTGTGTTTTGGAGGCTTATGCATATTATTACTTCATCAACTTGTACCTCCATATCCAGTATTCTAAGACTCTATCTAGTCTTCAGGAATAATCTTGGGCTTGCTTGAATCATCATCTTTATCAAAAACATATCTTAGGCATGTAGGGAAATGTTTCACATTGTCACCAACGTCAAAAATTCAGTTTGTCCTTAATTCATCTTAAATGATGTTGATTTGAATGTAATTGACTTGAATCATCATCAAAATCATCTCTTGGGAATGTAAGGACATTTCCATCAATCTCCCCCTCGTTACTTTTAAAATAAATTAAAATGAAGTTCTTGCACTAGTTTCATTCTCCCCGAATCTCTCCCAATCATTTTCCAAGTAAGCTTTTATATGTAATCACCATAATGCAATTTAGTTTTTTATGTGGTGACAAAACACAATTTAGTCCATATATGTTGAATCTCTCTGAAAACGAACATGAAAGATGAAAATAATTTTCAAATTTGTTAACATTCAAAGAGGAACTAGAAAAAGCTTACACTACCAGAATGAACATTCGGCCAAATGGTCATGAAATTCACTTATCAAAACTGAATGATTTCTTTTGGCTCTTTTTCTAGGGCACAAATTTTGATAACATACCAAATGGTTTTTGCCAGGTATCCCTGAACTGGTTGGTAGCACAAGGCAATGTTGTGCCAATTCCTGGAGCCAAGACAGAAGAACAAGCTGAGGAATTCAGAGGTGCCCTTGGCTGGAGACTCACTGATGCAGAGGTGGCTGAGCTGCGTAGTTTGGCTTCAGAAATTAAGCCTGTTATTGGTTTTCCAGTTGAAAACCTCTAGAATATGTAAAACACAAAATGCCCCTTCCAAATCAAATGTAAAGTTGTATCTTTTTATCAATATAGCTCTCATATTTGTTAATTACCTATTTTACCAAATAGATAATATGTTTTTTAAAATAAATTTAAAGGTTCACTAATTTAATTTCTTGTTATTTATTTATTTATTATGTATTATTCCATATACTAATATATCATTGAAAATATATATTGACTTTAGCCCCTTCAATTTGATAAATATTTTTCTATGTATGGGTTAAGGTTTGATTGCATTAAACAAGAAAAATATTAATTTTTATGATTTATATTAATATTTTTATTTTGTTCAGTAATATTTTTTTATAATAACTTATTGTATTTTTTATAATTAAAATATAAGAATATAATTGAAAAAAAAAAGTTTAAGGGTTTTTTTTTCTAAATATCTGATAATTAAAAAGAAGCATATAATATTCAAGGGTTTTTCTTACTTAGTTGAGAATTATTTACAAATTTTAATTTTATTTTTTTATTTTTTAAAAATTTATTTTTAATTATATGGATATTTTTTAAGTTTTTATTAGATAAATTAAAGAAATATTATATTTATATATAAAAATATAACTTATAATCAATAGTTTAAATTTAATTGATTAATATAATTTAAATTATAATATAATAATATATTTATATATTTTAATAGTAAAAAATTTTAATATTTTAAAGTATAATTTTTTATTTTAATTTTAATATATAAATATATATTTTAGATTCACGAATTATTATATTCATGAATTAGGTCAATTTTTTAAAAATTATACTATACTTAACTTAATTTATAAATCCGCTTAATAAAAAGAGAATTGTATTTATAGGATAGATGCAAGTAAAATTTCTTAACACATCTTTTTACATAAAAAAATATTTTTGGATTAAAAAATTAAAAATATAATATAATTTATGTTATCTAATATAAATAAATATATTATATTTATTATTATATAATTAGTGAAAATATCTTTATATTCTATATTTTTATGTTATTAAATTTTTAAATTTAATGTTGTTTCCTTCTTATTTTCCATGTGTATCATACATTCTCTTTTTCATTATATTATATTTTCTCTCTGTACCCATCTCTCTTCTCTTCTTACAACACGTTCTTTCTCAAATTTATTATTATTATTATTATTATTATTTGAATTCTTTATACAATAAAATGAATTTTTTTATTTGATAAAAGATAATATAATATTATAAACTATGAAAAAAAAATCCTATTATGAGATGGATATCATAATTATTTATAAGTGTATTAGAATATTAAATAATTAAAAGTTTTACTTTTCAATTTTTTCTTAAATATTAAGTATATAAAATTAAAGTATCATTAATTTCTTTTATACTGGCTTGGAAAAGGAACCCTGTCACACACCGGTCAACCAAGCCTTCGAACTTTCGATTCCCATGCTAAACACAACAGTTTTAATCTTTTCATTCACACACTTCAATCTTTCTTTACTTTTAATATATCTATAACTTTTTAAAAGGATTCTTTTCTAATAGTTCATTTTTAAAAATAAAAGTTATATACTTTAAAATAAACATATCTCTCAACCTAATAAAGTCCGTACATAGAATGGAACGACACAAGAAGTTAGTTTATGATGTGTCCGTTTTGTTTTAGTTCGTTATAGTAGTGATGAATTATCGGATAGGTTGTTAAGTTGATCGGTTAAATATTTTATTTTATTTTATTATTTTTAAATCAAAATTTTTAATAAAAATATAAAAAATATAATAAATAAGTTGTGTGAGAAAAATATATTAAAAGAAAAATATGAAACCTTAAAAAATTATAAATATAAAAAAAAATAAGAAGAGATAATAAATAAAAGAAAAAAAAAAGATTTGTATTTCAAAAAAAAAAGTGTTTCGTTTAATATGAGTTTAATTAATTATAAAAAAAATTAAATTTTTTTATAATAAGATATTAAAAATTTATTAATTTTTTTATAAAATATTTTAAATTTTTAAATTTTTTTTTAATAATTTTTTATATTATATATTATCTTTTATTAATAAATTTTTATTAGTAAAACATAGTAGGACTGGTCCGCTCAATTCCATAAGTTGGTCCGAAGAATTGAAAAGATTGATATAACATGCTAAAACAAATTAATAGATTAAAAGTAGTAAGCATCCCGCTATATTATAACATACTGGTGGTTTGACGGGCATGCTTTGTAATCCCTTTCCGTATAATAAAATTTTAAGTTATATTATATTATTTTCTTCGTCTCTCATCACGGATCGGACTCGAAAATTTATTTTATCAAGACTTTGGACGGAAACTCAAGAAAATCTAATACTCTAAAAGAATCAAGTAAAAAAAATTAGTGTTGCAAGAATAAATAATTATTAAGATTTATATATTTTAGATATAATAAAAATATGAAAAAAAAGATATATTTAAAGAATAAAAAATTAAAATAATATTAAAAAAATAATTATAAAAGAAATATAGATACACCTAACATGTGTATTTATATATATATATATATATATATATATATATATATATATGAGAAAGAAAAAAATAATATATTTAAAGAATGAAAAAAGAAAATAATAAAATTTAAAAACAAATTACTTATAAAAAAATTATATATGCCTATATTTTCACTAGTATATATATATATATATATATATATATATATATATATATATATAAGAGTTTTAAAATAAAAAAAAATATTTTTTATTTTTATTATTATTTATTTATTTAATAGTAAAAAATAAGAAATTATTAATTATAAAAAATAAATACTAAGAAATAATATTATAATTTTAATTTTTTAATATATATATATATATATATATATGTATAATATTTAATACTTCATTTTCGTTTAAATAAAATTATTTAATTTTATTTAATTTATCGGTGATTACCATTCAATTTATTTATTTATTTTTATATATAATCAACTGAAAAAAAATTGTATTCTTTCAATATATTATTAAAATAAAAAATATATATAACAACTCTTATGCAAAGTATTAATTATGAGAAAATTTTCAAGTTTAATGTGTTGCACAGCATGTCAACACTTTGACTAAAAAAGTCTTAGATTATTTAGAGTTAAAACACTAACTAATATCAAAACTTGGTAAATAAATTACATAAATACAATCTTGAACATGTGTTTAACTTCTTTTGTATACATCTAAATTTTTCATATTTTTCATGTCAAAATATTTTATTAAATAAATAAAGATTCATTTATCATAATTATACATATAATTAGTTACTTAAATTAAAAAAAAATTGAAATCAATTTAAAAAGTGAATTTAGGCATTTATATATATATATATATATATATATATATATATATATATATATATATATATACATATATATATATATACATATATATATATACATATATATATATATATATATATACATATATATATATACTATATATATATATATATATATATATATATATATATATATATATAACACTGACTAAGAAAGAAAACTTAATTGGAAAAAAGTAGATAAATACAATTTTGAATCCATTTTAACTTCAATTTATTTTTCCAAATTTTTTATATTTTTATTAAAAAATATTTTGTTAAATACATAAAGAATCCTATATGATAATTACACACAATGAGTTGTTATATTATCATGTATTCAAAAGTACACCAATAAAAAGTAATACCAAGTTTATTTAGATTAATGAAATTTATTATGACAGATTTTTTTTCTTTGTGAATTTTTTAGCTTCATTATTTTCTTTATAAAGATAATTTGGCTCAAAGTTCATATTATTATATGTAATATATAATATTATATATTCAAAATTAATTAATAACTACAAAATATATATTAATATATTTTTTGATAATTGTGTTTACATTTGATTATATTATAATTATAATATATTTATATTTATTAAAATAGGATAATACATTTATATTATAATTTTTAACTGTAAAAATATATAATTTATTTATGTATACAAGAAAAAGTTAAAATTATACATATAATAAGTATTATATAAAAATAAACATGTAGTATGGACTTTTATTTGATATTTTGAATTATAAAATGTGTCATATTTTTTTTAATAACGTATTTAACAAATTTATAAAAATAAAAATGATTAAAACTAGTCTAAATAAAATCATACAATTAAGTTAATTTTAAATTTATTTAAAATTAGAAAAAAAAACTATATTTAGATGGAGTGACTTTTATTAAAAAAAATTGAATCAAGTAGTAGTAATTATCATTTAACTATTTATTTTACATTTATAATAGAATATACAATACAATATTTTTATATTTAATGTAGTATATCTTAATGAAATTAATTAGACCTGATAGCCATTTTTAATATTACAAAACATAAACTCAAACTAAATTACAATTTAAATTTAAGTATGACTTAGAGTTCTATATTAAAATATTATTTATAATTTAATTAGAAAGTTGAATATTCTAGAAGTGAGGATAAATTTTTTTACATTAAATGTTTTAAGATTTGTTATTCAAAATTATGTGATATTTTTATTGTATAATTATCTTATATTTCTGTATTAAATCCTTAAAAATTCTAACAATTACAAGATATTCTATTTAAAAATAAGGGTATTTCAATTTAAAATATTAATTTATTAATAATTTTTTATCTTAAAAGACGTTTTATAAATTAAAAAAAAAATATTTATAAAGTATACTTAACTTCAACCTAAGATTGTTACAGTAAAAACATGAATAAAGATATAAATTTTCCTGTCTTATCCCATCAAAAATTGTAACAATAATTTGTTGGATGCCCTAAAGGGGTACATGCCAGGAAAGGCTGCGCAACCTTGCCAAGGAAAAATGGAAACCTATGTCATGTCCTCATTCAACAATTTCTTACAACTAGAATATTTACTTCTGCAAACAAAAACTAAAATAGTTTCTTCTCAGATTCAGTGTTCCAAGTTGATAATAATCTAATTGCAACAATACGCACGTGTATATTCTCAGGCTGCAAAATAGAGTAGTGAAATACTAAAATATATCTCAAAAGATTTTTATTTTTTTTAAATCAATAAATAATAACAATTAAATAATAAATAAATAATATGAGATAGGTTCTTGGAGCATGAGAGCCGCATCTTTTTCTGACAGCACTGTCCCTTATCATTTTCCCAATGGAAACACAGCTTGTCTCTGCCAAGTGGCATAATCCTCCATGAAACTTGAGATAGCACCCACCATGTGCATGGAGCTTTAGATTTCCTTTCATTTTAAATATTAACTAAAGTTCAAACCCCACATAAGAAAGTTTGGAATTCTCGTATCTTATTAATAATAATAATAATAATAATAATAATAATAATAATAATAATAATAATATTATTATTATTATTATTATTATTATTATTAGATTAATATGATTAAGGAATGTTGAATAGTTTTCTCTTTAAGATTTTTTTTAAAATATAAAGAAAAAATTAAAATGAACTTCTTTATAGATTTTCTATTATTTTATGGCAATTTTAAATGAAAAATAATAGAATGGATATCTTTAAATAAAACCCATTTAATAATTCTGATAAAAAATTAAAAAATGGAAATGTTGCAGAAGAAACAAAAAATTGTTAGTATACTTTACTAATTATGATATGAAGTACACTTCATTATGGTCAATAGCATAAGAGACTGAGAACATATATTATTCATGAAAATATAATTTAATAAGTTTTAGTATTGATTGAAAAATCACAACATAAATTTTATAGAGTTTAATTTTGATATACTTTTCAAGTAATTAAAAAATATTTTTAAACATGATATTTTAAATAGATACTGCAGAAGTTAAGTGTTTTAATTATATAAAATTTATAATTAGATGAGAGTATGCAAAACTTTATTATATTGTAATTCAAGTTCATCTTTTATATTCTTAAGTGACCAAATCTGTTGAATTTTTTAAAAGATTTTTTATTATTAATAGCCGTCAACTGGTCCCATGTTCATTTATTCCCATGTAACCATGTTTTTCTCGCAGTTGAGAAGCACAAGCACCATCTTACCTTAGGAATTGCTCTCTCTCTCTCTCTCTCTCTCTGATGATGATGATGATGTCACTGTCTTTATTGCTGTTAAAAACTCTTCTATATACTTTGTTCTCACACTTGTGAGAGACAGAGAAAGAGAACAAACAAGGTGCTTCTGTTTCTAGCTTCTAGCAACCATCTAAGTTCAACAAGTCAGAAAAAAATCTGCCTTTGCCCTTAGCTCAGGTGGGGTTCTTCTTTTCTGCACCTTGTCTTAATGTAGAAAATAATGGTAATAATTAAAGTGAATCATACATGTGGTTCCTTTTTTTTGCATGAAAGTGAAGAAAGTTTCATCATTTTCTATGTTGTCAAGTTGTTTTTGTGTTTTGGAAAGTTGTTTTTTCTGAGTTTGTGTTTGTTTACGAGGCTTGTACAGTTAGTTCAGCTTGCTGTCTCAAAATATGCATTTAATTTTTGTTTAGATTCTTGTTTTTCATTGGTTTTGTTTCTCTGGGTTTGTAAATGTGCTTGTACTTTCCAACTGTGACTGGGAGTTGAATTTTCCATTTTGGGAGCTTGGATATTGAATTTTTTGGTAACTTGTTTATTCAGAGATCAGAATGGCAAAAACCACTCATGGTTCCATTTCATTGGTTTGCTTGCTCACTCTTCTTCTAGTAAAGTTCCACACATGACCCACTGAAAGTCTTTCTTTTCTATTCCTTTTATATTTTTCAATTTTAAGATTTGTTTATGATTATTTGATTATTCAATTTGCTAGTAGACAGATTATTTTATTATGCTTTTAAAGGGTGTGCATAGGGAGTCAAAATCAGGCACTCAAAAGGGTCTTTCCTTATGATTTTTCTATTCTATACAAAATCCCTCTAAAGGGTCTTTGGTTATGATTTTCTATTCTATACAAAATCTAAAGTTCTTTTATTTTTATGCTAACAGATAACTGATTTGGTTAGCCATGAACAACAGTGTTCCTGATTGGAGTTTTGGGAGTGATTCCTGTGTCACCTCCAATCAAAAGAAGCCTATGGGGTGTGAGCAATTTATTTCTGTCAAAGCAGAATACTGTTCTTGTCCCAATTTAACTCTGCTTAAATTGTAACAATCCATGTGATGTGGTCAATTCTACAGGGTGGACCAAGAACTTGTGGAGCTCCTGTGGCAAAATGGCCAGGTAGTGTTGAACAGCCAAACACATAGAAAACCGGTTATGAATTCGATGGTGCCGAGACCGCTTCAGAGAAATTTTCAATCAACATTAAGGACTAATGAGCCATTTGGGAACTCAAGTAACTTGATTCATGATGATGAGACAGTCTCATGGATCCAATACCCTCTTGAGGATCCATTGGAACAAGAATTCTGTTCAAACCTTTTAACTGAACTGCCACAGTGTGATGTTGAGTCCTATAGGCAAATCAAGTCATTTGAAGAGGGAAAGTTTACCAAATTGGATGCTTCTAGTACCCCCCATGTGACTGTAAGTTCACAATCACCTAATATGAAATCGTCCTCTTTTCAGGAATTCTCAGGAATTCCTATACCTGCTCCAAGATTCCATGTTTCTGATTCACCTCAGAAAAACAATAATGGCTTGGGTGGACCATGTAAGGTCCAAAACTTCTCTCATTTTTCACCAACCCCTAATGTTTCCCCAGCATTGCCTGATGCGCATTTTAGAGACAAAATTACTGGTAACATGTCAAAAAATGAGGTTAGAGAGTGCTCATTGATGACAGTTGGATCAAGCTACTGCGGTAGCAATCACATGACCCAAGATCCAGATGCAAGCAGGGCATCAAGCAATGGTGCTTGGACTACTACTTTATCTGTTGAGCCTGAAGCTGTCAGAGATGATATGCCCAGAACAATTCCACAGAGTGAGAAAGGGAAACCAGACATGATTGAACCAACTGCAACTTCATCTTCTGGTGGCTCAGGTAGTAGTCTTGGAAAAACATGTTCCTTATCTACCAGAAACCAGAGTCAAAAAAGAAAAACAATAGATGTGGAAGAATCTGAGGATCATAGTGAGGTGAAGCCTCCTTCTCTATAGTTATCTTCATGATTTAATGCTTTATTCTTTGACAAGCTGAACTACATCTTTATGTATAATAGGACACAGGACTTAAATCAGCAGTTGGAAGCAAGGCATCTCAACGGACAGGGGCGGCTCGAAGGAACCGTGCTGCCGAAGTGCATAATCTATCAGAAAGGGTGGGGATTTGGCACATTTCTTGTGAACTTAATTTTTGTAAACTTTATTCCTACTAGTGCCAGTATTGTTTTATTGATGCAGAGAAGACGAGATAGGATCAATGAGAAGATGAAAGCATTGCAACAACTCATACCTCACAGTAGCAAGGTTAGTTATCATAATGAATGTAGACTATACTGTCAAAAGTCGTTCTTTGGAGATGCACTCGGAGTCAGATAAAGCTGCATTCTATGACTGCATCGTTTGAAAGTGATACAGCCAACACAGAATGTGTGAGATTTGATTTAAAAAAAGAAGAAGGAATTAGTTGATCTTTTAAGGAAAATCAAAATCATTTAAGAGCCATATTTATCATAAAACAATTGGATTAGATTTGGACATTAAATAATGAGTGAAGCAATCAAGTGAAGAAGACAAAATGCATGTGCATAGAAATTGATTCTCCACTTTATATGATTTAATCATATTGTCTTAAAAACTGAGTAAGGGTGTATGTACAGACAGACAAAGCATCAATGTTGGAAGAGGCAATCGAATACTTGAAATCACTTCAGTTACAACTTCAGGTAAATGTGCCACATAATATCTTGAAATGACAATTGTCTCACATTACTAACAACTGAAGTGAACAATTTTGCTCTTGCTGCTAGCTAATGTGGATGGGATCTGGCATGGCACCAATGATGTTTCCAGGAATTCAACACTATATGTCTCAAATGGGTATGGGAATGGCTGCACCTCCTTTCCCTCCAATTCACAATCCGATGCAATTACCGCGAGTGCCGCTTGATAACCATGTACCTGTATCTCAGACACCAAACCAGACATTGATGTGTCAAAATCCTCTTTTGGGTGCCTTCAATTACCAAAATCAGATGCAAAATCCAGCTCTTTCAGAGCAATATGCACGTTACATGGGCTATCATTTTATGCAAAATGCTTCTCAGGTATAGGTTTCTTTCAAGAGGAACTTATTTGCCTCTATTCCCTCCTAAAACCCGTTATGTGTTCTTGATGAGCTTCCCATTGTTTACCTATTGAAATTAATTTGCCTAGTTCTTTACTTTTTTGTCTTGAAGCCAATGAACGTATTCAGATATGGTCCCCAGGCAGTACAACATAGTCAAACAATGATTACACCCAGCAACAGCAGTGGAAACATGAGTGGAGCAGCAAATATTGATGAGGCTGTGAGTGGCAAAATGGGTAAGCCACTTGCATACTTCTTGCTTTGGCTAACTTCAAAATGAACATGCAACATCAATTACATGGAAAAGTTACACCTTTTTCCTGTTGGTAACCAGATGGTGACTAACAGATGCTAACTTGTCACCTTATAGATTGTAGACAGCCACAAAACCTTTTTCTACAGAAGGGACTTGTTCTTTGACTAGGATATGAAATAACTTGCATGAATAGTCCTTGCTCCATAATTTATTGAAACTCCTTGTGGTTGATAACATTTTGCATTGGCATATATGATTTTGGCTGTTGCATAATTCGCTATAGTTTTGTTCTCATTTTCTCTGCTATATTCATATTATATGCCTGATTTATCTCATCATTATAAGTTTCACATTGCGTGGAACTTTTACTGAGTGCTCAAATTCAGCACTACCTTAACAAAAATTAATCAACACAATTTCATGGCATTCCACAGTTTTTCATATTTTCTTATTCCTATCTTTTTAAAGAAAAATAATTTTGTACTTGAAAATCCATTTTATCTTGAGAATTCTGATACTATACTGTAATTTTCATTAACAGTTTTTACTTGTCATTGTTCACAGGTTAATTAGTTTAGAAGCAAGCTTATGAGAACCTACGGCATAACTAACAAGATAATAGCAAGATGATAGAAGCCCTTATATGCTTTCACAGTATGTCTTCCTGCTCATACACACACACACACATATATATATATAACAAGAAGAATGGGGTAAAATTAAAAAAGAAGAAAAAAAATTATGTGATCTAGAGGTGATTACCTCATGAATTAATTTAAAAAAAAAAAAAATTTGGTAAAAGTGACTGACTACCTTAAAGTTAATACAGTTGTTCTTTTCTTACCATGCATAATTGCTTGGACACTTGGTATATGAAAAAGGTTCTCCTTTTTTTTATTTTAGATGTGCCTATGCACAGTAAAGGCAGGGCTATGATTTGTAGTATGTGAGCCATTCATTGTTTAAAATGTAATAATTAGTTACTATGAAAGGACTTAAATTAAGAAGCATCCCTAGCCCATAGCATGCTACCATTTGATGGAGAAGATGTAATCAATTAGATTAGGTCATCTTTTTTTTCCTGGTTTTTCCATAGCTTACATGATGTCCCTAGCCTCCTAGAGTGCTTGCATGACCAAAGCACAAGATTTTACCATAATGAACATGTGGGGTGAGCATGCATAAGCTTGAAGATGTTAGGTGATGTATGATTAATTGCTCCTTTAGTCATTCCTTCTCTCAACTACAAATCACTTCCTCATGGTTTTTCTGCTGTCGTCAGATGGTAATTATTCACAGGCTGAATGCTGAACGTTACAAAGTTTATATTTCTTTTACCTTATCTTCAGAGAAAGAAAAATGTCATGAAAATTGAATATGTACCCTCCACCAAGTGTGTGATGCCTTTATCTTTAGTCAAGCTGCAAATAAATGTTGTTGCTGTGGTCCCCTGCATCAAAATTAAAGGTAGTCAATTCAACTAACTGCTAAAATTTGATTGCCACTATGTATATACGTACCAAGTTGTTATTATCTTGACATGGGGCCTCAAAAATAGACACTTGCTCAATCCACGAGCAATTGCTGCAACTGGGGTCCCCCTCAATCAGAGTAGCCATGAAAACTAAGTAAATTACACTTTAAAACCCTTGGCCATGGTTTTGTTACATATCATAATCCATACTTTATGACTCCATTTGCACACAAGTCTCCTCCAATTTGCTATGTTCCTTCTTCATTAGCTTTCCTTTTCTCCTTTCCAGGTTCTTCCACCTTTATCTAAATAGCAGCGAGTGCCTCATATATCACATGATCTGATCAAATCAAACATCCTTAATTGGAGGGTTTGGATGGTGGAATCAACCCTGAAAGCGCCAAGATATATATCCTCCTAATTTGTGTAGTGTGTTGGCCATGCAATTTGTCTCATGAAGAGTTTTGTGTCTAACTTTGAGAAAATGGCCGTAGACAGGTCCTTGATTATGGGCCAATTTTGTTCTCTGCTCCTATGTCCCATCAGGTAGAGCATTTTGCACTGTTTGTAGTAGATCTGGGAAAGTAACGTGGTAGAGCTAATTTTTTTTGCTGAAGTAGGCAATCATTGTGTCTCAACTTCACAAGAGAACAATTATTTGGCTCAATGCCATAAACTATTAACTATAACATTGTGATTCATATTAACTGTCTCCTCTCTCTTCACTCAAAACAATTCATTCCACTAAACACCATTTCTTAGTTGAAACATTAGGTTGGATAAAAAATAAAAAAAATTATTTTTTTTATCATAAACCTAATATTTTAAAAACAATTTTAGGTTAAAAGAATATAATATTTTCAGACTTTAGATGGAACGATGTCCTATTTTTTATATAATTTGTTTGTAGGTACTTTTATAAATATTTTTTAATATTAATCCCTCGAAAATATTTTATCTTAAACTTGTCTTTTATAATATTCTCAAATGTCTCAATTTTTTTTCACTCTTAACTCAAACAGGATTTGATTGAAATATTTTAATTCTCTTTCAAGATAACTGTTATTCAAATTTCCTTTTTACACATAAAATAATTTTTTTATAATTTTTATAATAAAAAATTGTTATAATTTTAAAAAATTTATTATAATTTATATATTTAAAAAATAATAGACATATGAGAACAAGAAAAAAGTAAATACATTTAAAGAATAAAAAATAAAATTAAAATAATATTTAGAAAAATAATTAATTATAAAAAATATAGAAACATTTTAATACCTATGTATCCAACAGTAGTAATAAATAAATTACATATCTAAATATTTATACTATAATAATCATTTTTTGATAAATACAATTACTTGTGTATAACACAAATAGCATGATGTAATTTATTTGAATATAAATAATAATAAAAAACATATTTTGTTATTTTGATGGAATTACGTGGGGTCCACTCAAAATGAATGTAGTCACGTCATCTAATAATGGTATTCATATAATTATAAATTTTGGGCGAGGGGAATCTGGAGTACATTAACTGATATGGATCTCACCGCAGCATATTAATTTAATGAATCTTCAAGGTTAGTAATAAAGTTAAAAAGTAATAATAAATAACTTAATTAGTGAATATGCACTTTAAAAAGTTTATATTGTCATATAAATATAATTATAAAACTATTTATAAAGTAACTATTGTAAAAGTAAAAATAAAAATTATATATAATAATAATAATAATAATAATAATTTGTGATGTGATGACAGTATTAAATATTTTTTAATATCAGTTAGTCGGCTATATTTTCTTTATTAAATTTTTTAATTTATTCTCTACATTTTATCACATTGATTATTTAATTTGAAATAAAATTAAAATAAAATACTTAATATTTTATGGAAAACTTAAAACATCATTTAATATTCCTATTAATCATTTGTAAAATACCATTCAATTGTAAAATGAGTATATTGAAATTTGTTAGAAATATTCCTCTTTGTTAATGATGAACATTTAGGGCTTCTCTTAGCATAAAACCATCATAGATATAAAAGTGAGATAAAATAGAAGAAAGGGCAAAGAAGAGTAACTTTTGGTGAAACACAAAGTTAGGGAAATATATATAATATATTTTCTTAAAATAGTGTTACCTTTCTTATCCTATACTTTAAACCGTTAATGATAGTTAGTGACATAATTAGTGTTGGTGATATCATATTTTTAAAGGGAGTCTTAACTATATTGAGATAATTTTCTATTTTGATCATGATTTAAAAATTGATTAATATGAATAATTTTTATTATATATATTGATTAAGATGATTAAGTCATATCTAATAAAAATTATTAAATATAGGTTTATTAAAATATTATAAATAAATAAATTAAAATATATTTTATTTATTAGTTAGATATATTTATTGAATTACATATATTTCACTTAACTTGAGAATAAAAATATTTTTACAAATAATTATGTATTTTTGAAAAACATATCTAATATGAAACAAGTTTAAGTACAATAAAAAAATCATTTATAAAAAAATTATTTTAATCATACAATAATTTAAAGATGATAAAATAGATGTGAATCCACCAACCTATCTTAAAATTAAAAGACAGATTGATAATTTTATTTAGTTAATCCATTTTATTCTATTTCATTTAATAAGTTTATTCATGAATATGTGTTTAAAAAAAATTTATATATTAAAATAAAAAATATAATTAAAAAATTATATTATATTAAAATATATAAATGTATTATAATTTAAATTATAATTATTAATAAATTAAATTTAAATTATTGATTATAATGGAATATTTTATATATAAATATAATAATATTTTTAATTTATTTAATAAAAAAATTAATTAATAAATACAAATTTAAAAATTATTTAAGATATATTTTAAAAAAGTTAATATAAAACTTTTGATATATGAATAAAAATTTAACGTATTATCTAACCTTTTAACCGAACAGGTTAAAATTTATAACCTAATTATGACATGACAAGAGACAAACGGAAGAGCGGAAGGAATATAAGACGGGCCCGACTTACAGTCTTACCAATAATAAATATTCTAAATTTTCTTTTTGTTATGAACATCATTCAACGCAACCAATGGTTTTGATTGCTTTTAAAACACGAATTCCCAAAATTTATTTGTTTTTTCCTTTGTAATTGGATGCATGTGGGGACTTTCCTTGATTGTACTTGAACTGCAAAATGCCATCAAATCCCACCACCATTATCATGTTTCTTTCCATATTCGCCCCATCAATTATCACAAATTTGATTCCATATTCACTACTCTCTTGATCATTTTTCCCATGAAAAAAAGAACCTGATTTTTTTATTTACTTTTTATTCAAGTTCTCTCAACCATAGTCAACTTCCCAATGAGATTATGGTATATTTTTCAAGATAGAAAAGAGCAAGTTGAGTGAAACATGAACAAGGAGAATGCCAATAAAGATAGTGATGGGACACATTGGTGAAGATCTAAACAAAATGTTACATAAATTTAATTAATTTAAG